AAGAATCAGAAAACCTGAAAAGGCCATAACTAGTGATGAAGTTGAAGAAGTAATCAAAAAACTCTCAGAACACAAAAGCCCTAGTCCAGATGCCTTCACAGGGAAGTTTCACCAAACATTCAAAGAAAAACTAACACCTATCCTCCTCAAACTATTCCAAAAAATCTAAGAAGAAGGAGTACTTCCAAACACTTTTTATAAGGCCAGCATTAGTCTAATTCTAAAACTAGATAAAGACAATACAAAGAAAGGGAATTATAGGCCAATATCACTAAGGAACATAGGTGCTAAAACCTTCAACAAAATATTAGCAAATAAAATCCAGCAATATATTTAAAAAATCGTACACCATGACCAAGTGGGATTTATTCCATGGATGCAAGTCTGTTACAATATTCGCAAATCAATAAATGTGATACATCACATAAACAAACTGAAAGACAAAAATCACATGATAATATCAATAGGCACAGAAATAAAATGGCCTCTCAGAAACAGAAACAAGAACAACAGCAAGAAACAAAACAATCCCTTTTACCATTGCAACAAAAAATTAAGATACTTACAAAAGGAACTTACCGAAGAGGTAAAAGACCTTTTCTTTGGAAAACTACAAGATGTTGGAAAAAGAGAGAAAATATAAACTGGAAGAATATATTGTGTTCATGGATTGGTAGAATTAACATCATTAAAATATCCATACTACCCAAAAGAATTTATAAATTCAATGCAATTCCTATTAAAATACCATGGCATATTTCATAGATCTAGAATAAACACTCCAAAAATTTATATGGAACCAAAAATACCCCAAGTAGTCACAGCAATATTGAGAAAGAAGAACGAAGTTGGAGGGATCACAATACCATATATCAAATTATACTACAAAACCACTGTAATCAACAGAGCCTAGTACAGGCACAAGAATAGGCATATTGTTCAAGGGAACAGAACCCAGAAATCAGCCCAAGCTCTTACACTCAGTTAATATTTGACAAAGGAGGCAAAAGCATACAATGGAGTAAAGACAGTCTCTTCAGTAGATGGTGTTGGGAAAATTCGACAGGTACATGAAAAAGAACTAAACTAGACCACCAACTTACACCATACACAAGAAAAAACTCAAAATGGATAAAAAACTTTATTGCAAATTGGGAAACCATAACAATCCTAGAAGAAACCATAGGCAGCAAAATCTCAGACATCTCTTGTAGCAATATGTTTGCCAACACATCTTCTAGGGCAAGGGAAACAAAGGAGAAAATAAATGGGACTACATCAAAATGCAAAGCTTCTGCACAGCAAAAAAAACCGATAACAAAATGCAAAGGGAGCCCACTGAATAGAAGAACATATTTGCCAATGATACATCTGATAAGGGGTTAATACCCAAAATATATAAGGAACTCATACAACTTAAAGGAAAACAAACAATCCAATTGGAAAATGGGCAAGGGACCTAAATAGACACTGCTCTAAAGTCAATATACAGATGGCCAAGAGACATATGAAAAAATGGTCAGTCACTAATCATCAGAGAGATGCAAATTAAAACTACAATGAGATACTACCTAATACCTTTTAGAATGGCTACCATCAACAAATCAACAAATGTCAAGTGCCAGTGAGGATGTGGAGAAAAGGGAAGCTTAGTACACTGCTGGTGGGAATGCAGACTGGTGCAGCCATTATGGAAAACAGTATGGAGTTTCCTCATAAAATTAAATATTGAACTGCCATTTGACCCAGTGATATCACTTTTAGGAATATATCCTAAGAAACCTGAAGCACCAATCAGAAAAAAATGTATGTACCCTTATGTCCTAGCAGCACAATTTACAATAGCTCAGGTCTGGAAACAGCCCAAGTGCCCATCAGTAGATGAGTGGATAACAAAGCTATGGGACATTTACACCATGGAATACTACGCAGCTGTAAAAAAGAAGGACCTCTTACCCTTTGGGACAGCATGGATGGACCTGGAGAATATTATGCTAAGTGAAATAAGCCATCTTAGAAAGACAACTATGACATGATCTCACTCATATATACAATCTAATGAACAAAATAAACTGATGAAAAAAATAGATCCAGAGACACAGAAGCATGAAACAGACTGAGGATTCTCAGAGGGAAAGGTGGGGTGGGAGAGTGGGTGGGGAGAGATTAATCAAAGAACATATATGCATACATGCATAACCCACTGACAGGGACAATTGTGTGGAGGAGGCCTGAGGTGGGGGAGGAGGATGCCCTGTGGAGGGGATCATTAGTGGAAAGGGGAGGACAGCTGTAATACTTTCAACAATAAAGATAAATTTTAAAAAGTATGTTTTTCTTCTGGCAACTTTCATTAAGCAGGTAATTAGCAAATGGCCGGTGAAAAGGAAATACTTTTAAATAATGTCCAACTGAAATCTGTAATGCCTGGGGATTTTGTTCTTTGATTGGCTTTATTTATAGCCTATGTAATAGATTAGAGTCATGGTGCTGTGACCCCAGGATATAAAGTGCTATTGTAGTAGTGAATAATAAGTTTCAGAATACTCAAGAACTACTGGATTGATGACTGATTATATGTTGAGCAATTTGTATATTCAGATCACAGTATGGAGGGGTAAGAGCTGTGTACACACAGAAGCAAAATTCCAATGCACTGGAACAAGTGTCTCCCTTAACATCCTGTTTACAGCTCAACATGCACAGGTCCACTATGCGTACCAGCCAGAAAGACAAATTGCATTTGTGCTGGTCTGTGCTGCTTTGCGTTTAGACTTTTTAAAAGGGTGGCCTGGAGTATTTCTGAATAATGATAGTTGTTTTTATTTCCCTCACATACCAGAGATTTTTCTTATAGCCTTGAATATCAGCTTTTGAATCCTTGAAAGCCCTCACCACACAATACAGCTTTTTTCAAAGCATACGGTATTAGGTAATTCTTTTTCTGAGATGAATAACACAGTTTTAAAGTGATTGCAGTTTCTGAAATTGGTAGGATTTGGGAGAATACAGGAAAACTTGAACTTAAGGTACTTAATACCATTGTAAAAGTTTTATGGTTCTTTCCTGCTTTTGCCTTTGTGTTCTAAAATGCAGAAAGACCTTGAGGGAGAGAAGAGGAAGCAAAATGTTATCAAAATGGGAAAGTCTTGTGAATGCTACCTGGAGGGGAAAATGTGAAACTGGATCTTAATTTCCTTTTTGTTTTTTAGAAGAATGTCACTGCCTGTGAAACATGAGGCCTGTGAAGGACAAAATGTTCCAATGTCACTCCTTGTAACAGTCCCCAAATTCCACATGTGAGCTGCTTTTCCCAGGTGACTGATTGGACAAATTGTAACTAACTTTAAAGGCTCTGGAGCTCCCTTTTCTGCAATCCCACTTATTCTTCCCATTCCCTATCTTCTATCATTTATTGTTCATTCAATAAATATTTTGTACTACCTACTATGTATCAGATCCAGCATCATGTTGTGAAGATACAAAACTGGAGATAATGGTATGAAAAACAGATACCTTCCTGTATTTCTTTGTACACAGATAATATAATTGCAACAACTCTGAACACTGCCAAGGAGAATGAGAGAGGTCATGGAAGCTGGAGGGAGGGTGGGGAGAATTTGGGAGGGGCACTCCAACAGATAATGGAGCTGCTTTTTGTTCTCTTCTGGATTTTCATCTCTGTGTTAAAGAAAATTGGCAGTAGGTAACCGGTTTCAAAGAGATGTGACCAAGATTTGATGGGTGTTTTTAAAAGACCACTCTGCCTGGAGGGTAGAAAAGAAGTTCGGTGTCAGCAGGAGGGTTTGGGTGGGGGCAATTCAAAGGCTGTGGCAATAGTCCCCACCAGAGATGATGGAGACTTGAAACAAAGGGGTTGGAGAAGAGATAAAATTGGCGAGTTTCTTGAAATATTTATGTCAGTACCTGAGGGCTGGATTGGAGAGTGATCAATATGATAGCACAGAGACGGATGCCAAGATTGCCAGCCAGTGTAAGTGTCTGGACATTGGGGCTGTTAACTGAGAGACAGGCAGGGCAGGAGAGGGGTCAGGGATTGTGTGTGTGTGTAGGTGGGAAAAGAAGGATGTGTGGATGACAACAAGAGGTAGGAGGAAGAGTTAACTGCCTTCTAGTTCCAATGCCACCGATCTTTCCAACCAAAATATTGGCAGTGACTCACACTGAAAAATACATTTTAGACAGCTTCCTCATACACAGACGGTGTATATAGAAATTCACAAAACAGTGCTACCCTATTTCTTGTGCAACTCATGAATATTTCTTATCTTACCCCATTTAAAAAAAAAAAAAAAAAAAAACAA